GATGGTTTATGATATTTGTGGATTCCATGTGCAGTTGTAGGCATGAAATGATGTGTGGTGTATGATAAGAGAAATATATAAGAATGAAAGAGTTCACAGGGCAAATATAAGATACTTTCAAGTCTCTGATAACTAAAACCATGAAGTGTTAAGTAACATCAGTACTTTGATTTTTGTCTCCTTTTATAATTGCTCAGAATAAAAAACAAATAAGAGGCATGCCTTCAGCTCACCCAAGCTGTTCAAGGAGTACTTGGGGCAGATGAAGAACTAATTTATTCAGAGACTGCAAAATAGCCACAGCTTTTTAGGATATTCATCCCAAAGGCCAATTTTTTCACAAATTAAAGCTTCATTTAGGTGGACAAGCTTATGGGACCAGCTGCATACAACTGCATGTTCACCCCAGTTCCCACTACCCAGTGAAGTATTTCAATCAGTATTGAAATAATTACTGCAAGATTCTGGTTGTAGTTTTAAGGATTTTTTTTTACCCTGTGGCGTTTTCACTGTTTGCTGAGTTATAATCTTTCCAGAAAAAAAAAATAAAAATCAATCAGCTTGAAACTTTAACCTACTTCTAAGTAAATCTTTGATTGAGCAAGTCTTTAATGTGTTGCTTCGCACCATAGCAGTGTATTTAAGTGTGCCCTCCTTTATGTATAATAAATGTTGTGCTGAGGTAGGGTCTAGGGATGAAAAGCAACTGCCTATTTACACCAGCAACTCCCCAGGCATGGGAATCTTGTGTGTTGCAAGAGTGGCGACGTTTTCTGTGGCAGTGCTTGCAGCAGCCTGTGTGGTCTGCCCTGCTGGCTTTAGCAGCCCGTCTGAACTGGCAGGGGCCAGCAGCCCGGGAGACCTTGGTCCCTGGGTGAGCCCTCCACCAGCCCACCACGGAGCCACAGGACTGCTCCCCAGCTGCAGTGAGCAGCGCAGCTCAGGGAGATCTGCTCTGTCTCACCAGTTGTAATGCAGAAAGAACAATTCTGGGTATCCAGAACAGCGAGGAGGAGAAAGTTTGACTGTGAAAAGCAGAACAGGGACCTTCTTGCTTTCATGTCTTCTTCAAGGACTTTGGCAGACTCTGGTGTGTTTTGTGGTGGTTCTGCTTCTGCTTAGGACCTCTGACAGATGCACTGTTTTTTAGAGAGCTAGTGAGCCTTTCCATGTGAACAAGAAAACATGTAATTTGACTGATTCTGAATTTCAGTATTTTTATTGTTCCTCCCTTGATGTGTCTCAGAAGTATGGAAGATTATTTAAATGAGGATTTTTATTGTCATTTCTAGTGAATTTTCTGTGCTGTAAACGCTGAAGGAAAAACTCAAAGGCAGTCCCATCCCCTGTAGGACTGCAGCCTGTTACTAGTCATCTGACCAAGAAATGAGGACAAGATAAGAGTAACATTATTTATATGTATCTAAATTAGTAGATTATCACCAACTGTATGAAGTTTAACAAAGACAAGTGACAGATTGTGCACCTGGGAGAAGGAAAGCCTGGATGCCCACACAGACTGGGGAATGAGATCCTGGAAATCAGGGCTGCAGAAAGAGATCTGGGAGTCCTGGTCACTGGCAAGTTGAAGATGAGCCAGCAGTGCCCTGGCAGCCAGGAGGGCCAAGCGTGTCCTGGGGGGCATCAGGCACAGCATGGCCAGCTGGGCAAAGGAGGGGATTGTCCCACACTGCTCTACACTGGGGCAGCCTCACCTCGAATGTTGGGGACAGTTTTAGGTGCCACAATATAAGAAAAGAATTAAAGGTATTGGAGACATGAAAAGGATGTCTGTGAAGATGGTGAAGGGTCTGGAGGAGAAGCCATACCAAGAGCAGCTGAGGTCACTTGGTCTGCTCAGTCTGGAGGAGTCTGAGGAGAGACCCCATTGCAGTCTGAAACTTCCTCGTGAGAGGAAGCAGAGAAACAGGTGCCAATCTCTTCACTCTTGTGACCAGTGACAGAACTCAAGGATATGGCCTGAAGCTGAGTCAGGGGTAGGTAGTTTGGCTGCCAGGAAAAGATTCTTCACCCAGAGGTTGTTTGGGCACTGGAACAGGCTGCCCAAGAAAGTGAGACTACTTTCTTGGTCAGCACCAAGCCTGTCAGAGTTCAAGAGTGTTTGGACAATGCTCTCAGGCACATGGTGTGATCCTTGGGCTTGTCCTGTGCAAGGGCAGGAGCTGGATTTCCATGATCCTTGTGCTTCTCTTCTAACTCAGGATGTTCTATGATCCTGTGATAACACGTGCTTTGATGTGTGTGATCACTAAAATTGCATATTAGAAGTCGTCTGAATTTAGTGGTTTCTTATTATCGGAGAAACAGGCGGTTCTAAGAGATGCATGTTTCTCTTTGTGTTTAAAAGAAGCAAAACCCAAGAAATGTCAAAAAAAGCCAGAATGTTTTCAGGAAAATTATGGAAATAAACGTTTCCACTGAATCTGTCTTATACTGACACTTTTGTGGCTAGTCTCGCCTCTAGTGACTGTATAGACACAGTTCATTCATATTCCTGACAGGAAAGTTGTGGAGTCCTTTTTCTGGGACTGATGATGTAAGAGAAGACCACAGGATTCTGATTCCCTGTATCGACTTTCTGCATGTGCTGCTTAACCTCCCTTTTGAGAAAACTACCTTATTTGGAGAAAGTAGCTTACACAGATCCAGATTCAGCAGTGTTTTCTGGCTGATATGGCAAAACACAGTTTTTATATTCTCCCAGCTTCTACAGGGGAGTTCACTATTTTTGATTTTATCTCACTTGTCTGGACTCTCCCTACAGTGGATGGACAGAAGCTTTCCACAGACATAAAAAATGATCCCCAGTTTGACCATGGAAATCTGTGTTTAGAACATGCATTGATTTAGAGAGGACTTAAGAGTGCCTTAACTAATAGTCTGTCATCTATTTTTTGCATATTGGGCAGAAAATAATTCAGTATTGTCTAGCTTTTAGTAGTAATATATCATGATTAAGATGTTTATGTAGGATAAGGATAGCAGAAAAATTCTGAGAAGGCTTGCTGGTATATTTCTGAGTGGACTAATCCCAAAAGTGAATCAGTTACTGATACTCTCTGAACAAGGTGGGAAAACCAAATCATACCTGTTAGGGCCATATGATCTAAATAGCTTTTGAAAACATGAGCATGAAGTAAATGATGGTTATTGTTAGTGAAGATGGTTATTGTTAGTGAACTGGTGTTTTAATTTTGAACTACATTTTAAATGAGAGAAATGTCAGATGATTATTTTCTAACAGTAATCACCTGTATGAAATTTCATTTAAATACTTGTGAATTATTAAAAAAATTAAATCACTGACATCTTATATCAAGTCTTTGCCTAAAACCTGAAGATCTGCTGTAATACACCATTTTCATAAAGTGAAATAGAAAGGCCAGAATACCATCTGCCTAAAACATAAACCTGTTCAATGCAGAGAAGAAAATCCAGTTTAAGATTCCAAGAATTTGCAACATTATTTCAATATTTGTTCATTTTTTTTCAAAGACATCTATGCATGTAGAAGTAATAAGGCATGTCCTTACTTCAGTGCACATCATTTTAGGTCTAGAAGTGCAGAGTGTGAAAATAGATTTTTCTTATGTTGCATTTTAATCAGGATAAAATGACAGTTTTAGAGTTGCAGAGTGCACATAACTAGATAAGCAGTGCTGCTTCAGCACAAATTGCATGCATTGTTAGAAAGAGGTATGTACTTAGAAAGCAAATGATAGCCCTGAAGTTGTGGTGATATTGTAAAGCATTGGTGTATATTGGTTATCTTTTACATCATTCTTAGAACCTTGGCACACATGGTTTATGCTCAAGAGTTTAATTTCCTTAGTTTTATATTTTTGCAGTCCTTAAAATCTTCCATATATTCAAGAAAGAGTATAGTCAATGAAAGAATTTCATAAAACTTAGCTTCTCAGTGGCAGAAATTACTAGAAAAATGAACATTTGTATTAACATTTTATTAAAAAAAATTGATGCAAATGTTCATTTTTCTAATAATTTCTACTGTTGAGAAGCTAAATTTTGTGAAATGGGGCTAATCAGGGGTTATTTCATAGAATCACAGAATGATTTTTTTTTAAAAAAACCAACAAAACAAAGCAAATCTTCTAGGTTGGACTCAATGACCTTGAAGGTCTCTTCCAACTTATTGATTCTGTGATAGCAGAGATTGCAGTGGTAAATATAATCTCAGAATCCAGAGAAAAATAACATTTTGTTTACACTAATGTCCTCTCAATGTGTTGTCACAGCTCTCTGCTGTTTTTTTGGGAATTGTATATGCAGAAATCAAGCAGAATTAAGCTTTCATGAGCAGATAATCAACAGATAAATGTATTATCTCTATGCTCTGCAAACGAGATGTTGTTCTTAAAGAGTAGTTTCAGAAGCCCTGGTTATGTTTTCTTTTTTCTTTAGCCAAATTTCATGTTCTTATGTGTTTTTTTTTAACTGAGTTTATAGTTTTTGAGAACACCAGCACACTTTATGGTGACTGGTGATTTTTATTTAAACTGATTCTACATGTTTCCTTGAAATATTCTTATATGTCAATTTAGCTTGGAAATATGATCCATTTCTTGAATTTATTGTAGCTAATAATGCTCTGGACTCTTACTATTGTAATGGTGTTAATTCTTCCCAGTCTCTGTTTTGCTGGTCTGGCTTGCAAAAGAGTTTAAAAAGGCCAGGAACCTAAGACCACCGGCATTGCAGGGAAATAACATCTGAAAGGTTCCCAATCCTACAGTCTGCCCTCCTGCTGCTGAAGAGCAATAACAGACTTGATTTGGGTTTATTTGTGGATGCCTATTTTATAAAAAACAACAAATCAAAGAAATAAATCAGTGCAGATCTTATGGGTCATTTTATCTGCTTTGTTTTGTTGGTTGCTGTAGCATGACTGATAGAGAATGAAGGACACTTGCTACTGGGAACATGTGTAATGTTATTTTGTTTATTGTGGTACATTTCTGTCATTTTTCTTATATACTCAACACTTTCTCCCACCTTATTTTACTTCTTTCCTCCCAAATCTGCTGATTTTATAGTTATCAGTTCTTCTTAGATGGTGGGTGGTTTGTTTTTTTGGGTTTTTTTTCCACCTTGGGTCAATCTTGCAGTTCTTATTGATTCCTTACTTCGGGAAAAAAGCCTTCATGATTTCAGTAGGTGGTCTCCTGGAATCACCTCTTGGGTTTTGCCATATTGAGTGCATGATGTCTTTTAGAGAACTGAAACTGAAATCACTGTGCTTCTTTGTCCAGGTACAACGTGAAATTGTACATCAAAATCTTTATCATCAATCAGGATGTCCAGAACCACTCTTTGAGTTTGCTGTTACTGAAGTCTCATTGAACTACGTGCGTGATGAGGAGACCGGTAAAGGGAGACTGCAAAATCCATGCCCTCCTTTGAGAGGCCAAAGAAGGAGGCATAGCAAGGTAATTTGGGACAGAGTCAAACAAGTCCACTATTGTTTTGTTTTGGTTTTTTTTTTTTTCTTTTGTGTTGCTTCAGCAGGTGAAAGGTACCTTCTTTATACAAATGATGTAATGTGGAGATGTCCTTAGCACATGTACCGTAATGCATGTGCTGTAGGGTTGGGGGAAATGAGATCCTGTGTTTGCTTTTATATCCAAAATCTGCTCTGTTAAGTTGCCAGGTTCATGACTAGTTTCCTTGAATGCAGAAGCATTTCTGTTTTGCAGGTGTTTTCCTAAAATTATGCTTCATTGTAAAGAACAGGTCTTATCCTGTTTGTATTTTTAAATTCCTACATTTGCTGGTGTAATCACATAAGCAATTAATAATAGCCAAACAGTTAACAGTAAAACAAGATGTTTTTGATTTAAGTTGTCGAAGAGTCCTTTGCTGAGCCATGCAAAACACTTCAATTGTGTGATCGTTTTAATCATTGCTAATGAAGCTGACACACCCATGATGTTGTTTTTGGCTTTGATACCTAAAGGACTTAGTGAAGCGGCTGGAGGATTTGGTTGTGTTCCACATCTCACAGTGTCATGGGATGCTGGGACACTAGTTGCTTCAGAGTAGCAAGGGAGAATCAGCATTGGAATCATCAGTGTTCAGGTTTCTTTTAGCTTCTCACTTCTTTTCCTCAATGCAGCAGCAGCAGACTGTCATAATTCAGTCTGTGCAGAAAAAAAGCAATACTAAAATTGGCTTGATCTCCATTTTTCAAGTATGTATCTGAGGAAAAACAGGTGATACTTTAGGGCTCTTTGATAAAGTGGTTTTACAAAATCTAGGCACTGGACATTTAAAACTAATCAGGTTTAACCTCAGAATAAACTGAAAGATAATTTATGCAAGGGTAAGTAGCTAGTGGAAAAGTGCTAAGGTGTACTGTAGACTGTCTATGAGGATGCCTTTAAAACAAGATATCTAAAAGATATGAATTATAAATTACAGTCTTTGTGATCAGGAGGCTGGTCCAAATGGAGATGGGGATTTCTGTAGAATTTCTAGGTTGTACCACAGGAAAGCAGTAAGGAAAAAGGGAAGTTGTTTCTTTTTAAGTGACTAATACCTTCCAACTTTTCTGACTAACAGGCCAAATGTAGGTTGCAACTTGACAAGAATAGTGAACGTTTAAATTCAATGTTTTTTTGGTCATATTTCATTCTTAACTGAATTGTGGGCTCTCTCCAGGCAAGAGAAAAACATGATAATGGTGTCTAATTGTTGAAGTGTGCTAGTTAGCACTGTTGAAAGAGTTTGCTTAGGTTGTAGTGTAGGAGAGCCTTATTGTGTAGAAACTGGAGTTCACCCTTTCTTTGCTTCCCCTGTCAGTTCAGGATGCAGGAATAAGGGATCTCCCAAATTATGCCAACGATGTTAGTATGGGATTTTGCTTCCCTTCCAGCTGGGAAGGACCTAGCATCATCCTAGCTGGTACCATGGGGATGGCTGCAAGACTAGACCTGACCTCTCTCACTTCTAGGGAATGTAGGCAGAGCTGGCACGCATCAGTTGAACTACACTGAAGTGCCCTGAATTTATTCAGCCCCCTGGAAACATCCTGTTAGTGTTGGGCATACTTAGAAGCTCAGAAATTATATTTATATATATGTCAATAGGTTGAAGGAGCAAAATTAGCTATTATATTAGAATAGGAAATGTACAGGAGTGACAAAATAGTTTGCTGGTGGGTAAGAGGCTTGATACATTAAAATTAATGTTAAAAGAAACTAAATAAATAAACTGTACCCCAATTTGCCTGTGGTGTGAATAAAAATAAATATTATAGTGTTTTGGTTACAATATTCATCACTTGCTTGGACAACTAATAATGAATATGACATGATAAGAGAGGGTGAAAAATTATAATAATAATGAGAAAATTTGTTTCTGTATAGAAAGTGCAAACATCATATGGGTGTATTAGACAGAAATATTTTTTGCTATGCTATGAATGAAATTTTAGAGTAAATGGCCACAGAAGAAGCAAGAAGAGAAACAGCTTGAAATTTATGTCTGAATTCCTGTGCCAGACCTGACTAAAATGTGACTGTCAAACAGTCAAGGCAGTAGCAATTGTCATATTCCTAAGCTCAACATTCTTGTGGGCGTGAAAGAGCCAGAGAGATGTTAGATAAAACTGAGGAAATTTCTCTGAAAGGAAATTAAAACAGCCAAAATGTTAAATTCCTTAAAATGTCGTGAGGTATAAGGGGTAGGTTTAGGGTCTTTTTGAGGTGTAGTGTGCTTTTTTTTTCTCAGAAAATTAGCTTTTAAACAGACAAGCAAAGAATAAAAGAAATAAAAAGACATAATTGACTATGTGGAAGTCATTACAAATAAGGAACATACAAAGGAGAATTAACTTTCATAAGATATATGGCAAAACATAGAAAGGTGCACCAAAAAGCTTTTGAAGAAAATAATGAAAGATAGAAAAGGAAATAAATTCACTTTTCTATCTCAAACACATTAGAAGTTGAAACTTCTAAATCTACTTCTAAATCTATAGAATATGATAACAATGTGATAGCAATGTACTGATATTCACCATGGAGGAGCTTACAGCTATTTTAATGTTTTTCAGGAGTGGAGGAAAGAAAATATTTTCAAATTGAGGCAGAATAGTTTTAAGTTAAGTATAGCATAATTTTTATATTATTCTGAAGAAAAGCACTGCTTACTGAGTAGTTTAAATTACACAAATATGAAATTGCCAGATTGTTAACTGGAATATGCATCCTACCTGTTTGGGGGTGGAAAGTGGCTGTTGTGCTGCCAGTCTAGAGTCTTTGGCTTTGTGGCAGGCAGACTTTTAGAAGCTAAGTAATAAAGATTAGGTGAGAATGCACATTATGAAAAATTGACATTGTGGTTTTGTAGTCCTGCCTTGCTGTTCTACCAATTTTTTTTAAGGAGTTAAAGTAGGCTGGTTGGATGCTGTGTGCTGCTCCAAGAAACATGATCCAAAGTCATCACCATTCCCCTTATAAAATTATGATGTTGTTCAGTAAGTGGGAAAGTTCCCTACTCAAAATGATGTGAGAAGTAAAAATTTAACTTTGCAGAGTAAAGAGTTTTTCCGCTAAAGTCTTACTAGTTTAGTCCGCATATATGAGACTATTGCTATATTTATGAGAGGATGAAGGACAAGGTAGGCTTGTTCAAGAAGAAGGTCCTTTACAGGTCAGCAGAAAAAAGCTCATAACACTTAAAGACTGAACTATAAAATGGCAGATGAAATTCTATGTTAATAAATGCAAAATAATCCACTCAGGGTGGAAAGTCAGCCGTGACTGTATGTTATGCAGTGCTAGACTCCACATAAGCTGTTGCTCTTCAGGGAAGTCACCTTGAAATAGTTGCAGGCAAGTCTATGCAAACCTTAGCTCACAGCCAGTCAAAAAGCTAAGTAAATTTTAGGAATGAATAGAAAGGGCACAGGCAAGTAAACAGAAAACAGCTCTGACTTTGCTTAAATGAAGGGTAGATTTACTGGTTTTTGTAACAAGGCAAGGAAATAGATGTGTACTAAGGGTTACTATAGTTATGTTTTGACTGATTTCACAGTAAGCCAATCCAGTTTAAAAACAGCAGACCCAAAGAATGACAGAAGTGTCAAAATGTCTAAATGAAACTTTTTCTCTTCAAAGATGAAGTTTCTTGAGGTCACATTGCAAGTTGCTTCTCCAAGCCCTTGCAGCTGTGAGATTCATACCCTCCTACTTAAAATAATTGTTACTGATGTGTCATATCATAACTACCAAGAAACATCAAGCTTTTGGGAAAATAGTCTAGTGAGCAGCCCACAGTCCTTAGAGAACCATTTCAGTATCTCTCAGCACATAAAATGGTCAGTGATCCACCAAGCATGCAAACGTCCCTGGATTTTTTGACATGCAATGGTATGGAGTGATATTTAAAAATGGTTTATGTTACAGGTTACAAGCTAAGTCTAAAAATTGATTTCTGGCAAGTGACACTTCATGTGCAAATTAGTGTGAAGTTAGTTTAAAGACAGCAAATTTCAATGTTAATTTTTATTAAGGATGAAAGATTAAGATGCAAGGTGAAAAATGGCAGTAAGGTTTTCTTGTGAGGGAACAGAGACATATAATCATGGAAATGTCATGCATATTAGCCAGAATTTTATCAACAGTTGCCTTAACTTTCTTTTCTCATTCCCATGCTTTTGGGGATTTGAAGAGGGTTCATGTCCCCCACTCCTTTTTTTACAATAAATAGCTAAGAACATGAATATTTTCAGTGTCCTGAGGCAGTCCTTTGAGTTAACATAGGGGAGACACCATGTCAGTTGTTTCGGTGTCTCCTTCTGCAGACTCACAAATGTATCCTGGACAATACTTGGTGGTTTCAGACTTGAAGGATTTGATTTAGCCAGCAGGATTAGATTATTATTACCACTTCCTTAATGTCAGCATAGATTCAATCACCTCTGGCAGAAATGATAAGAACAATTGGCCTGCTCTGTGTTTCAGAGCTGACTGTTACACAAATTAAGGAGTATCCATTAGTTAAACTAAATAAATATATCTATCTATCCATATATGCATATAAAAACAATGAAATCTGTATCTCTTGTTTGTTAACCCTGGACTACAAAAAATTTGGGAACAGATCATGATGTCTGTTGCCTTAGCAGAAGTTGCAGAAACTCTATTTACTTAGCATTACTTTTTTTGGATGGCCATATTGACTGCTCTAAGTGACATCAAACTCAGGCAGAAAGTTTCCAAACTGAGACAAGCTCTGCCAAAACAGAAAGAATTCTGTTATTGTTGAACTCTAGATGCCTAACATGCAACTCTCAAACAGCAGTGCTGTGTTTTGGGAAATACTGATCAACTGGGACCCAGAAACAGGCAACAAAAAGACTTTGCTGGCTCCAAATGGCAAATTCCCTTTTTCGGAAAGGGCAAAATAAAAGGAGGTAAGGGAT